TAAAATTTTAACTTCAAAAAAACAAAATTTATTGCATTTACATCCTATTCAAAATTTTTACCTACCTTCGAACAAATTTCCGTTAATTATCATGGCCAAAAGACCAAAATCGATAGAGTTAACACTTTGAAATATCTTGGAATATTTATAGACTCACATCTAAGGTATAACCATATTAAATATGTTATCAAAAAAATTAGAAATGTTGCCTATAAACTCAAAATGCTTGCTAACATTCTTACAGAAAGTTATCTGCGAATCCTATACCATGCCTTAGTTGAAACCCATATAATATACGGCATCACAGCCTGGGGTGCCGCCTGCAAGACACATATTTCTGACCTGAATATAGCACAAAAAACTGTTTTGAAACCCATTTTCCATAAGCCAAGATTATATCCAACGAACAACTTATATCAAGAAACAGGGATACTTGATACAAGACAACTTTATTTCTTACATGCCACCACCTTATACCATAAGTATTGTAATAAAAAGAAAAAATCCTATAAACACTAGCATAACACACGATTTCGAATAGGCTCATCTAATATCCAAAGACCACACAAAACATTATTCAAAAAATCATTTAAATTCTTAGCAGCCAAATTATATAATGTAGCACCAAACGAAATAAAGATACTTAATTTTGGAAAAAAATTTAGAAGAAAATTGAAAGACTGGGTTAGTAATGTGCAGCGAATGACTATACATAATTATATAGAAAACTAAAACTACAAAATTCCAATTACATTAATACCTTTTAGATTTAACAATAATTGTTATACACATATATGATTGATTGTTAGTTATTAAGATATAAACCACACACAGGCGATGCCTTCTGTGGTTTTTTCATATTTATTTGCCCATTTTTTGTATTTTGGCGAATAAATATTATTATTATTATTATTATTAATATTGTAAGACTTGTCGTATCTTCAATTGGACAATGTTCATTTCAACCTCCCGATCTTTTTTAAAAATGCGTGCCAGCAAATGTCGTGCATTTTAGGCGTCTCATCGATTCCCATTATCCTTTCGACACAGTAATAACGAAAATTCTTCGTTTAGCTTGCTGTACATTTGAGAGGATATGTTCTCTCGGTAAACAATTATCATCATTCTGGCCAGTCTCGAGCCGTCCTGGCATAAGGGGTCGCTCACTGAACAAACATTTCAAGTTATAATTACATTAATTCGACCACAAGATAGGTAAAAAATAGCATGGCCAGTTTAAAAAGGTTTATATTTGCTTTCAAACGTTTGGATTTTTTCCAGAAAGAGAGAGAGAGATGGGACGTATCGGGTCACATTGATGAGTAGCGTTTGGTGTCTGATTTTGAGAGTTCTGTAGTTTATACGATATTATATTATTGTGTCACTTTCTTAAAAGCCAGTATTCATCTTGTTCCAAAGAAAAAAGGTAGGTTCTGGGACGTGACATAAAGAAGACAAAATCAATTCAAAATTACATTCTATGTTACACATTGCTAATATCCAGCGGTACGCACAACTAGGAGATAGCCAACCAACCAATAAATAATCGGTGATTGAATGTTTTGCGGTTAGAATTCAACATTTTGGTTTGATTAATATATATATACCTCCTGCAGGTAATACTGAACTTTTTGTGAATCTCCTCAATCAAATACTTTCTAAGGCAACGACAAATTTTAGTACCAATTCCTTTGACGCTTTCTCCGTCTCCACACACAAATCGACAGAAATGAGTTACATGTGTTTTCGTGATCGGTATGTCATATATAACATCCAAAGACGTAATATCTCGTTTTTTAAATTTTTCGCGATCACAATACTTGCCTGTTATTCACATATTTAGCTCGACTTATTTTCTTAAATCGACTAAAATATGTAAACCCTTGCTATGTCTGACAAGATTTCGTTCAAAAAGTGATCTGTACCATAGAAAAATCGACAAAAACAGCCGCCTACGGCATAAACAGATAGATTTTCGTTCAACAGCAATGAGAAGTATATTTTTGCCAATAGATATGACTTACGTTATTATAGTTGTACCAAATCTGGTACATTTGCTAAAAAAATCCGTTTTTTCATTTCGTTATATACTTAGAATATATAGATAGATATGAGAATCTTTTTAAAACAGTCAGTTTCAAATTATGACATTAACAAGTTACTGGATCAAGATCCATCATTTGATGCACATCCATTCATATTCCATTTTATCTAGATTTGGAAACCACCAAGATGGATTTATTATACAGGGTGCTAATTAGGTATGTGCCATAAATTTAAGACAAAAGGTCATAAAACCCGCAAAAAAAGCTTCCCTCTCAAGATACGGGTTATTAAAACTTGAAAAAGATGGTTCGTAAATTTCTTAAATATCCTTTACCTACCTAATTTTGTTATAATTTGGCAGTAATATTCACAACGTTAAGGAGCTAATTTAGCCCTAACTTGATTAAATTTGTTAAGTCCCGTGGCATCTCGAGCAGGATCTGGACCCGCATTTGTGACAAAAAATATACGTCGCTGACTTTTTGACTTTTGTACAATTTCTATTACGTGTATGTTCCTTAGATTAAGCTAACAGAAATACAACTTTTTTGTCTCTTGAAATTTTTTTATTTACGATAGGGGTAAATGCTTATATGGCAGAAACAACATGAGAACAGGGAAGCATAATTATGACACAATGAAAACAAATCTGGTAGTCCAAAACCCTGATAAGAATGTTTCATGAAAGTCCTTTTATGAGAGCTCTAGGTGTTATAATATGCTCCTTGACGAATTATAGCAAATAAACTCACTTGGACTATTTAAGAATAAATAAAAATTATCGATGACATTACCAAGATGTCATACAAACCAAATTATTGATTTTAAGAATGACAGCAATTCCAAAGTAAACAAAAAGTTATGTTAGACAATACGAGTATTCCCGAATATTTAACTTTTACCCGAATTGAGACGCAGTATATGCCGTTGTCTTGTCGTTAGTACCTATAAGAAGGATCACCCTTCTGCGGGTTTTTCATATATTTGTCTCGATATAATTTTTTTTAGAATATAGTGTATTGTATATTTTGAAGACCAATTATTATTATTACATCCTCTATATGTTAAGTAGTCGCAGGTTGTAGATGTGTTCCCTTAGTTGACGTGATCCAGTCCAGTAGCAAATGGATGTTTTTGTCTGGACATTCACAGGTAGTGTGCGCAAGTTGATGAGAAATCTGACGTTTTCCCCCTGGAAATGGATTGCCAAAGTGAATTTTATCCTTATCACATACGGTAAAGATGACGACTACACTACACTGATGAGTTGATCATGAGCATAAAATAGCGCTATATGCGATTGGTTATGGTATCTGAGGAGTTCTTTAGGAAATATGCTGCCTGCCGAATCATCTCATATGTTTTTGAAGAATTAGTGGAAGTTCTCTTGTAGTGGCTTCAAAATGGATTCAGCAGCCCTTCTTGCTATTATGTTACATTGGGTTGTGAATGACCGTTCACTCATGTCACAGCTTTGTTATTGGTGGTGGAGGAACAAGAATCTGTAATTGCATTGAGAATAGTGTTTTGACCTTGATGCTTGATGCTGGAAGACGTACTTTTCGTATTTCTGCAAACAGCGTTTTACAGTATGAAACCAACCAGACTAATCTGTCAACAGAATTCCCATCTCTGTTGCTCTGAATTTGATGACGTTTGGATATGCGCATCTAGGCTTAGCCTTTAGTCTACCTTGATTGAAACAGTCTCTCTCATCAGTGTGCAAACAGCCATGCTCTAGCAGAAGCATCGACGAGCCGTTGAAGCTATACTCCCAGATGACGTAGAGTACATTGCAATGGCCTTGTCCAGGTAAATTCGAATCGGAATAATTTGCCTTTACAACTTCAGTGGAATTAAGCCCGAAGCCTGGTTTGCCCAACGTGTCCCTCACGCGTTGTTTGGTTATCGGAACATGATGGATATACTGTCTCCGACAAGGACGGATGTTATCCGTTCTCTAGAAGCACTACGTTTGTATCAAAGCATGTCAGTCACTCTGTCGGTCAGCCTGGTCACCAAGCATCCAGAGAAAAACGCCAAAGAAATTATAATGGCGTCAAGGGGTATAACTCTATACTTCCTAAGCCTTCAAAACAACTTCTGGTACAATTTTCCATAATAGTACAATGTTTTGTCAGAATCAGTAATGCAATATTTAGGATTTCGTTGGAAAAAATGGCAGCAATGAGCATACCCATACACTAAAATCTCATTTCTTTGCAGCTCAGGTGTAACACTGCTTGTTTGATAACTAATTGTAAGAGATCTTGATACATACATACAGGGTGGCGCATCGAAAACGAAACAGACGCTTCTACTGGAAGCTTAGTTTTTTCTTTGGAAAGACGCTCAGACCCGTCGCTTTTGTTTTTTAGAGGGACACAAGTTTGGCAAAAAATCACTTTAACACGTGCAGCCCCCTGGGCGGGAGTGACACCAACCCTACAATCTTAAATGGAAAGGGGGGTCGAGTGATACCTCATTTTAAAGGTCTTTCCTTTTATAATGATATAAAATTGTACTCTGTGTACTTCAGTTCAGTAGTTTTGAAGATTTATTGATTTAAAGCTTAACCCGACAGCGGTCGCACCCCCAAAGTATATTAATCAGGTCGCTGCGGGTCATAGTGACCCGCTCATGTTAGGCCCTATAAATTTAGTATAAACAATAAAATTTCGTGATTATTTTTTTAAATATTTTATTTGCGAAGGTTACTTAAGCATATAACCTAACATTGGTATAAAAAAACCTTAAAACCTAAAAGTTAGGTATCTTTCTAAAAAATAACTAAAAAAAGTTTTTTTTGCATTGGTCGATTAATTTTTATTAATTAATATTAATTAAATTATTAAATTAATTAAATTAATAAAAAAATCCTACTTTAAATAATGAAAAACATAAACCTAGTTTTTCTGCTAATACTAAATTAAAATATATAACAAAAAAATATCTCTGAAACCCTTTATAAACTGTATTTATTGCGTGCCCATTTCTAAGGAGTATTTTTCAGACAATTCAGGCATGTAAGTTTGCCATGATTTCCACAGATGTATATTTTGCAAATCGCACAAGTGTGATAAGATTTGTTACCAGTTCTCGCACATAATTTACATCTCTTCCTTTTTCTTGAATCTTGTTCTGCTTGCTCCTCTTCAGCAGCAGGTTCACCTTCCTGGAGAATTTCTATAATGTTGGTCCTGATAAACTTGGGAAGATTTGCAATTTGCAGTCGAGATCGCATGTATGGAGAAACAAGTTCCTTGGCTAACTCTTTGAGCCAAGTTCTTCTCATCAAGCGCTGATCCCCTTTTTCATTGTACGATGATATGCCAAAACTATTGACCCCAACCACATCCAGAAGATGAAAAAAGGCTGAAAGGGGCCATCTGTTGGTTTTCCTGGCTGTTGAGTATGTGCCACACATCTCATCTACTACATCAACCGCACCCTTTGTGCAATTGTAAAATGTGATAATCTCTGGTTTTCGGGCGGCACCACTATTAGGATCAATTGTTTTACCATGGTGCATAGTCAATAACAGAACAACAAACTTGCCCTTTTTTGGTACATATGATACCAGCGTTGTACTATTTTTTCCAAAACCAAAAACAGACGAGCTTACCTCACGATATTTGCTTTTTATAAAGCAAGGATGTTGCTGCAACAGGTGGTGACTAAGTGGAACACTGGTAAACCAATTATCATGAGTAACATTTCGTCCACTTCCGCTTATTGGCGTTATTAGTCTCTTGACAACTTCATCAGGGGTTGGCTTATTTGGTGAGGTCCTGGGGGTTGTTTACCCAAATAAAACTCCATATTCAGCACATAAAAAGTTCGAGCATCAACAAGCGAAAAAACTTTGAAACCATATTTCGCTGGTTTATTTCGCATATATTGGCGAAAAGAGCAACGCCCTCGGAAACCCCATCACATTTCGTCTATAATAGTATATTCAGCCACTGAAATTTTTTTTCTACATTTTAAAACAATATAATCAAACACTTCTCGTAGTGGGGCTAATTTATCTACTGCAATTCTAGCTACACGATCCCTTTTGTCATCGAATCGAAGAGCTCTAAGTAAAAATCTAAATCGCTGTTGAGACATCACGCATCTAAAAATTTGAACAGCAGTTCCATCGTCACTCCATAATTCATCGGTGTGCAAATGAGATGATTTCAATACACCTGCATAGTACAAAAGTCCAAATAGAGCTTTTATCTCTTCAAAATTTGTGTTTTTAGCGTCTTTTTCACGTTTGTATTTATCTCTTACAATACCAATATAAATATTTGTATATTCAACAATTTTTAGCAACAATTCATCAGCAAAAAAATACTGCCAAGCTTTCAGTGGCGTATCAGCTTGTCTAGCAGCGCCTTTGGTACCTGGTAAGTGTGTAACAATATTTTGACATCTCGTCCGAATTGACTGTGTTGGCTCATCCTTCTTCCACTTAGTTTTGTCTTTGCCGTTATAAGATCCTCGATAGAGCAATGGAATGTCGTCTTCAGAAGTAGAACTATCACTTGCAGGATCATCCCCATTTTCATCATCACTCTGCTCAGTATCGATATATCTTTCGCCATCATCTCTAATCTCTTCTTCCGGATCTACATTGCTTCCAAGGTCACTCTCGTCCCCTCCCAGTTCTTCCTCGGTATCCACACCATAGAAATATTTACATGGAATAGGATGAAAATTGCTTGTTCCCGGCGTGTCCATTTCCAAATTCTAATTAGAACAGCTACAACAAAAATATTAAATGATATTATCGCTGCCAAAACAGTAGAAACTGTAGAAAGCTTGACGAAATAAGTAAAGGCATATTTACACGCACAGTTTTTCCTAATGTTTTATTTCTGTAGGAAATAACGTATGAGTAGCGTAGGAACAGAAAATCTGCAACAGTTTTTTCATTCATAAACCACGCTATTACTTTGTTTTTACGTTCTAAACTGCACAAGTAAACTGTCGCAAAAAACTGTGTGTAAACATCCTTTAGTGCTTGAAATATTTACCTAAATCACCTTACTAAAAAAAATTGCAAAAATGGAATTATTATACTTACATACACACCAAAATGCCGGTAATAAACAATAGAACCAAAAATAGTCGCAAAATAATATGACACCGAAAACAGTCGCTGCGTGTCACGGTGACCCGCAAGAGCTCCGTTCAAGTAGACAGCTCAATGTAAACAAAGCAACATGTACTGAGTTTTGTGGATAAGTAGTTCATAGGAAGGTACCTAAGAGGCGAGCGATGTATCTTATCTAATACGGGAGAGGTAGGGCGTAGAAAATATGTGCGGGTCAGAGTGACCCGCAGCTACCGCTGTAGGGTTAAAGTAGACTTTAATAGGTACATCAGATTAGTTTGTACTACTTTGAGAAGAAATTTGACTAAAAGAATTTATTTAATAAGTAAATGCTTTTCTTCACTACGCCCATGGTTTGTTTATCATTTTGTTGTTGAAAATAGCTATTGGAGCGTTTTTTGTGGCAAAAAAGATATTTCTTGAAGAAAGATAAGGAAATATCTCTTACTTATTTCAAATAGGAATTTAGTACATAGTTTGCGATTGATTTGACCACACTTTGTTGCTAAAACAATTTGTAACGCTTTATTACATAAATTAACCATGGTATATTCCACAGCAGAAAGAGTTGAAATTATCGAAATATTTTTCGGAAATAATCAGTGCGTGAGTAGAACAGCAGAAATATTTAATGAGCGACATGACGTGCATCGAAAATATGTTCTAGAACTTGTAGCTAAATTTCGGGAAACTGGGTCAGTCGCCAATAAAAAACGCACATTGAAAATCCCATAAGGGACGAAGCAATAGAACTGGGGGTTTTAGGGCAAGTTTATGTAGATCCTACGTTAAGTACCCGCAAATTGGAGACTGTGTGTTGTGCCGGGTCGTAAATCGACTACGAATCGGGTATAATGCAAGACGTATGATTTATACTTTACAATACCTCTACGCACGCGGAGACGCGAGTTAAGGCTGTTAGGCCGAAAAGCCCTAGCTTGTACTGCAAAATAAGCAGTCAGTCTGCATCTATAGCCTTTAAAAGATCGTCTGCTCCAGCAACAAAGCTGGATCATTAGAATGCTGCTTCCAAATATATGAATGAAATTTGAAAAATCTGCTATACAGGTTATTTTTTGGGTAAAATTTTTAACTAGTTTGGAGATGTACTTATTGTTCTCTTCGTAAAATATCGACTAGAGAATATCTAAGGCGAGTACTCCTGCCAAGTTTCAGCAAAATATAACGGGAGGTTACAAAGTTATGAGAATATAAGAAAATTGCCAAAATCGATAAAACTTCCTGCACCTCAGTTATAAGAGCATCAACTGTATGATTACCCAAGTGAAGCGGATATAATTCATGCTTCCAGAAAGTTAAATAATAAAATGACTTCAGGCAATGATGGTGTGCCTAGTTTTTTAATAAAGGATTGCATTCATGTATTGGCGAAACCGCTTTGCATGATCTACAATATGATATTGCTAACATGCTCTTTTACCCTCGTATATGGAAAATGACTCAGGTATGTCCTGTCTTTAAAAGTGGCGATAGAAGTAATATTTGCAATTATAGGCAGATTGCGATGCTTTGCAATTTTGGTAAGACTTTTGAGGTTATTATTTATAATACCATTTTCAACCCTTCATATGTACTTTTTCTGCTAACCAGCATGGTTTTGTTGCTGGCAGATGTTGAGAATAAATAAATAAATAAAGAGGCCTCCATCCGCAGTCAAAGTATCTCCTTCTTCCAATGACACACACTTTAAACAGCTGATTGGTTTGTGGTGAGGCTTGAAGCTTGAAAATATGTCTAAGCGGGACTTAAGAAACATCAAGATCAGTTGGACAACTATTGATGAGATTACTGGGAAAACAAAATTTAAAGACTGTGTCACTGAGTTAAATATAACATCGGGAACAGTATTAAAAAATACTCAACAGATATGCGATGATTTTGTACAATTTTTTACTGACATTTAGCAAGTAATATACAAGCAAATGTACAAAATACTCAGCCTCCAAAGAGAACTTTGAACTCATTTACTTTGGATAAAGTCGAGCAATGTGAAGTATACACCACTATTATGTCCTTAAAAAATCGGAATAGTCCTGGGTTCGATGGTATTAAAAGCGAGCATTTGAAAAGTATAGCCGAAGACATAACAGAACCACCCACTTACCTAATCAACAAATGCTTTGAATCTGGCATATATCCCTCAATTTTAAAAAAAGGTAATATAATACCGATACATAAATCAGGAACAAAAACAGATGTTAACAACTATAGACCAATATCAATAATATCCAGTGTAGCAAAGGTTTTTGAAAAAGTTTTATCTACTAGAATGATTCGATACCTCACAAAATTCAAAATTTTAAGTGAAAATCAATATGGATTTACAGAAGGGAAGGCTACATCGGACGCAATAACTAAAATTGTAAATCAAATACATCAAAATATTGATAACAAAATCCCTTCAATCTGCATTTTTGTTGATTTAAAGAAAGCTGTCGACAAAGTTAGTCACAAATTATTATTAGAAGCATTGGAGAGAATTGGTTTCAGAGGAAACGCGTACTCACTGATCGAAGGTTATTTGACAAATCGCCCACAATCTGTGCAGATATCAGGATCATTTAGTAACGAAATGTATATTAAGTGTGGTGTCCCACAAGGAACTGTATTAGGTCCGCTGTTATCCAATATATATTTAAATGATATTTTCCAAATTAATTGTGTTGGCAAAATAACTAGTTTTGCAGATGATACTGCAATATTATATGAAGGCACTGACTGGCCTGATCTGAAAAATGTAATTGAAAAGGATTTTATCAAAATTATTCGGTGGTTCAGCAGTAGAAAATTAAGCATTAACTACTCTAAAACACATTTGTTACCATTTGGATCTTATGCTAGACATCTGCCAAATTACACAAATTTCTCCTTCAATATTAATGATCAAAAAATGCAAATTAATAGAGTGCCCAACATAAAATACCTTGGAGTGGTCTTGGATCCTCACTTACGATGGGACATCCATGTCAATTATATTTTAAAGAAAGTTAGATTTGTATCCTACAGAATTAAATACCTTGGGAATATCTTGACAGAAAAATGTCTTTGAACATTATACCATGCACTGATTGAGCCTCATCTCACATATGGTATATTAGCATGGGGAGCTGCATGTTCCTCACATATCTATAATTTAGATGTTTTTCAAAAAGGTATTCTAAAAATGATATTTAAAAAACCGAAACTTTATCCCACTGAAAAATTATATGCAGATGTTCGAATGTATGATATAAGACAGCCTTATTTCTTACACAGTATTACTCACTACCATAAATTTGTAAGCACCGACCAAAAAATTAAACATAATCGTTATACCAGGTACAAAATTCGTGGCACAGTAGTTCCTCAACCGCATAAATCTATAATGCAGCGACCATATCTCTATTTAGCGCCTAAATTTTATAAAATTATACCTAAAGACTTAAAAGATTTACGTTTCGGAAATTGTTTCAAAAGAAATTTCAAAAAGTGGCTACATTCTATATCTAGGACTGAAATTCATAAACTCATAAATACGAACATCAACTAAATATATAATCTACTGTAGCTAATTTTTGTCCTTTTTTGTCATTTGCATTCTACAGTTTCAACTTAAATTATTGGTCCATGTACAGGCGATGCCTTCTATTGGGCCTGTTTTGATGTTATATTTATTTACTCATATTGTTTGTTATCTTTGTACATTGAGTGAATAAATATTATTATTATTATTATTATTATTAGTTACTCAGATTTAGTAGCAGAAATGAGCGACATGGGTTCCAATGTTTTATGGGGACATAAAGCCCTTAAAAAATGTATTATAGGAAATCCGAAAAATATCCCGAATGCAATGTTTTCGTCGCCGTACGTCGTAAAAGAATTTCTCACAGTTTTACGTCCCGCCCTTATGCCTCTTAATTCCGTATATTAAAGGAGACCCTTTGCTAGAAACTTTTCTAACGAGTCTTGCGCAACTAAACTAAATGGAAAGCAGACGGTGCATTTCGACGTCCAGGCGGCTATGATTACAGAAATTAGTTCCAACGTTAGTGATTTACCTGACTTAGCTAGTTCCTAATTGGGTGACACAAATTTTGTCGTTCGACGCAACATTTCCGCTAATTTTGGCTCGTGCACATTCGGGCAACGCACTAAGTGTAACGACGTTAAGCCATTAGAGCCAAAGTACTGGATGCCAAAATCCACTTTGAGAGTAGTTGCTGCTTCAAACTTCACAGAAATGGCGATTTATAGTGTAGCGGTTTCACAGCCCGTGAAATCTGAATATTCCGCCCATTTCATTTCCTCATTATTTAATAAAATTGTTAACCAGGAAAGTATGTGGTCATAGTGCCGATTTACATGCTGAACCTTTTCTTATGTCGCTATACTATAACTGTCTAAAACTGTAATGACTCATCGATGTTCACGTGAACATCACTTAACTACCAGTAGTCGGCTGTTCATAGGCGGGGTATGAATGTTTAACATGGGTGAACTAGATTTGTCACATGCTTAATAAAGAGTGGTTTGAAACATATTGTAAGCAAAAAATTTGGGAATTACCTTTATTCATCGTCGCTTCCACTTACATCTGACAGTAATAAACTGTCGCTATCGCTTTCCTCGTTGAAATTGACTATAACTGGCTCTATGATGGTGTCGATGTGGTGGTCAAGCTGCCACATTTTTGTTTCTTCCTTCACAACATGACGGATAGCATTCTGCCAAGCTTCGGGAGTTACTAGCTATATGGAAGTCTCAAGTAAAAGCTTAACGTCTGGTAATTTGAAGGTTGTGTTATGGCGCGCAATATAACCCTTCACTTGAGCCCAGATGAGCTCTATTGGGTTCAGTTCACAGTGGTAGGGCGGTAACCGCAGCACAGTGACACCACATTGACGGGCCATCTCATCAGTCACGTAACTAATGTTCGCAGGTTTGTGCTGTTTAATTTTTTCATACAATTCCGCTTTCACACATGAGTCATCAAACGGGATTCCTTTTTCGCGCAACCATTGCTGCATGTCACTTTTTCGAGATCCCATAGTCGGTACACGTTCGGCTCGACGACTATGGTAGGAAGCATTATCCATGACGATTACAGAGTTGGGCTCAACTCGCAGAAGCACCCCTTGAGACCAGCTCTCGAAGCAGCTGGCATTCATTTCATCATGGTAATCACCTCCTTTCTTAGAGACGAAAATCAAGTCCCACTCGTCTAAAAAGCCTCTATCGCTA